ATATTTCTGTATTTTGCTCCTGAGATCTCTGAAAAAAATGCCCCCTCATTTTGCTCTCCTCAACAGCTATATGGTGAAATGACAAAGCTGAATGGCATTGAATTAATTGAATAATCTATACATGCTGTAATTGCTGTATTGATTTTTACACATACATTTATGCAAACTGGTAACATTAGCATCTGTTTCCCTCCTGAGGTCAATATAGTTTGATCCTGTCTTATTTGCAGTAATTAATTGGTTATCTGTTGATTATTTGGACTCCTCTCCGAACCTAATGACAAAAACCTGAACAAAAGATGCAAATTAAAATCTTCTATTGATGCCAGATCGCAGCGACAGGCTTCACTGCACACTGCACCAAACTAGTGAAGGGAATAATGTGACACAACCCAAACACCATTTAATTAATCTAATCTGTGACGCGATTGAAATGTAAACACAGGGAAAGTCATACCGGTACCATAGGGTTGCCATGGCGACAAACGGGGTGAAGCCTCCTATTGGACCGAAGTGTTGTGTGTAATGTGACTTCACTTTCCTCCTGTTTGACAGACACAGGGTTTGAAATGAATGCTTTATGCCTCAGTAATGAAAGCAGCCATTATTTATATTGAAACCTCAGCGTAGTAATGGATTGATTCATCACTGTCGAAGCTCAGTTGGCCAGTTGCCCTTTCAAAATGTGGTTACATCTAGAAGTAATTTTAAACAAGAAAAAATATATGCTTTATTAAGTGAGCATCAAGGTACTGAAACTTCTTTGTCTAACCTCACTGTGCATTAGAGTCACAAGAAGTGCGTTTATAGTCTGTCTGTAACAGCAACCTTTAACTTTGTGTTGCGGCTACCAGCATTAAATCATTTCTTCTTTTAAAATATCTGCATCTTTAAGAGTCACTGTTTCAATTAAAATCATAAATGTAAGGAAAACCCTAGATACTGAGGGTTTAATCCCCTTTTTAAAAATGCAGATCCAAGACTCACACTGTGTTTTTGTTTTCACCCCCAGCTGTGTCTGTGATTTTTCACCTTGGCCGTACGTGAGGAACAGAAGGAGCCAGTGGAGAGAGTTCACCGACTTTGTTTCCCCTCCCTCCCTGTTCTCCCCCTCTCTGCACCCTCCTGCCTCCTCTGAATGATTGAAGCCATGCCCATTGTGTCTGCCAGCACAGGTACAGCCAGACATATGCTCCGGCTACTTGTTTATTCTCTCTGATGCTTTATATGTGCTGCTAAATAATGCAGGTGCTAATATGTCAAGCTTACATTACTGGAGCTTGAACTGTGAGAATATATATATGCTCCTATTGTAAATAAACCAAAAAAGAAGCCTAAAGATTTTTTTCTGTGAGGTTATCACTTCTGCTTACATGTCTAAAGGTATGCATCCAGTCTTATCTGTATTTACCCAAACAGCAAACTGACACCAAACAATCTTTGATAAGGGATAGTTGGATAGTCACTGAAATCTGTGGAGGAAGGAGGGTTACACGTTTACAGAGGGAGATACTGGAGGGATCCTGTGGGGGTGCTGGAGCCGATCCCAGCTGACATTGGGTGCGAGGCAGGGTACACCCTGGACAGGTCACCAGACTATCACAGGGCTGACACATAGAGACAGACAACCATTTACATTCAAATTCACACCTACAGACAATTTAGAGTCACCAGTTAACCTGCATGTCTTTGGACTGTGGGAGGAAGCCGGAGTACCCAGAGAAAACCCACAATGACATGGGGAGAACATGTAAACACATGCACAGAAGGGCTTACATTATGATCCCAAAAAAAGATAAATGCATCCAGTATGTTTAAATAGATTTGGGACATTGCAGAGGTGAAGACTCAAGTCACATATTTTGTACTCAGGTCAAGCTTGAGTCACAAATTTGATGACTTTAGACTCGACAAAATCAAAAAGACTTGCAACTTGACTTGGACTTTAACACCAATGACTCATGACTTCACTTGGACTTGAGCCTTTTGACTTGAAAATACTTGATACCTGCCCCCCAAACCTGAAGATTAAAAAGTTTTTTAAAAGTGTCCCAATCAGTTAATTTCCCTTCACTTCCTGAATCAGCTAAAGTTAACAGTATTCATTCCCAGCAAGTCGACAACTAATTCTCTAGATTTACTTTGTTCAAATCAATCTGACAGCATCCATGCGGGTCAAAACCAACAGACGGAAACCCAACAACTTCAAGCTGCGTTCGACATTTAAAGTCGCACAAAGAACGGTAACTCAAGGCTAATATCAACATGGTTAGCGGGCTAATGTTAGCTCGACAGCTAAATACTGTAAAAACACTTGTTTTTAACTAATAAACACAAATGTTAAAAAGCAGTCATACATTTTCTTAACTTTAAATTAGTACTACTCTGTTGTTGAAATGGCATAACATTTGGTGAAGAGCACATTTTGACTTTGTTAGGGCTCAAAACTCAAAGTTCAGGACTTGGGATTTGACTTGGGACCTGTCAGTCTTAACTTGAGACTTAACTTGGGACTTAGGTGTGAAGACTTGAGACTTACTTGTGACTTGGAAAACAATGACTTGGTCCCACCTCTGAGACATTGTAATGACACAATGCTTTTATTTTATTGCTGTAGTGATGGCAGAGAAGCCTCTACTCTCAGTATCAACAGTGGCCTGATTGAGGATAAAATATGTGTGTTTGAATGTGTGATTGAGACATAATGTGTAGTTATTACATTTCATAGGGCTGCATGAGACTCTGGCCCTGCTCACCTCTCAGCTCCACCCTGATGCCAACCATAAAGAGGACCTGGTCTTCCTCAAAGATGTCTTCAGTGAGAAAAGCCTCGGTTATCTGATGAAGGTACAGCACATACTCCATGTCTCTTGATATTTGTGATTTCTGGATTACTCAGTCATGAACAGTGTTACTTTGCCTTGGAACAACTCTTAGAAGGAAACCAGCTCAGTAACACATAAATATAATCAGTAAATTCCTTGTGCACAATTGTAACGTACTTATACTTAAGTATTCCCATATTATGCTACTTTATACTTCTACTCCACCACAGTTCGGAGGCAAAAATTGTACTTTTCACTCCACTACATGTATATGGTAGCTTTAGTTACAAGTTACTTTATAGATTTAAGATATACAATGCAAATTACTATGTAACAGATGTAATGCCTCTCAGTTATCACTTATGACCCACTATAAGTTCAGGGTGGTGTATGTTTCCTGCAGGGACTCTGTCCTCTGCTTGTTGTTTGTTATTGTGTTCTTATTTTCTGTGTTTGTCACATTTATGGGCCTGCACCCCCCAACATTATCAGGTGAGGTCGGAGCTTTATAAAAAGGTACAGACAAGGTGCCAGACCACAAGCATCCAACGAACACAGTGCCAAAACCCCCCCACAAATATAGCAAGGCGAAACGCCAAATGAGAGGGAATCTGTTGGCTTTTATTCTCACTTTTGCTGGCGAGCGTTTTCACTGACAGTCACTGACAGTCCTGCACAGTATACCTTTATGGCTCACTAAAGTATTTGAAATTATCCCCACCTTTACCAGCTGTAACATTAAAGTAATGAACACAGTGATATCTAAAATCCTACAATATGTGTATATATATATATATATATATATATATATATTTCTGAAATGGATCATTCTGCATGATGAGTAGTTTTACTTTTGTCACTTTAAGTATATTTTTGATGCTCATAGTTTTACTTAAGGAAGAGTGTGAATGCAGGACTTTTACTTGTAATTGAGTATTTTTTACACTGTAGTACTGCCACCTCTACCTTTAGGTGAATACCTCTACCACTACTGCTCAAGATATATTGTGGTAAAATTCCAGATTTTTGATTTCACCTAAATTAAAATTATAATAATAAAGAAATAACTTAAATAAAATTAAATCAGCTGATTCTTTGAAACTGCCCACCAAATGTCATGTAAATAAGTCCTTCTTGGTGTGTGTTTGTGTGTGTCTTTTTGTGTGTTGTACATCCCAGATTCATGACAAACTGAAGCAGTATGAGAAACACAGCCCGACTCCAGTTCTACACAGCGCCACCTGTTTGGCAGAGGATGTAGGTGCACTCTTTCCTCAATATTTCAAAGCCGACCTGAAGCTCAATGTCAATAATAATCCTAACATAACTGAATGTTAAGTATAAGTAAAGATTTCTTGTAATGCAGCAAAGGCAGTTTTTTAAACCACATGTGTTTCATGAGGAGATTTTATTGTTTTAAGCTTTGATTTTCTGTTTCGAATCATCAGCTGGCAGAGGAGCTTCAGAACGGGCCGCTGGAGGATGATGAGAGAGAACTGCTGCTGCTGCTGAGCACTCCTCACCTCAAGGTACACACTCACACATGTTTCGTGTCCTTCCCCACACATGCACAGACTAATAAATGCTCGACTGTGTCTCTTTCCTCTTATTCCTTGAGCTCTTTAATGCCGCTGCTTCTTTGTGCTTTTACCCTGAGCTGTTCTGATGTTCCTCTAAGTTGATCATCTGTTGCATAACACCAGCGTCAGAGTGGTTTGTACCGGTAGACATGACAAGACAGCCTAATTACTCTTACAAGAGATTATGTTGTATTTATTGGCTTTCTGGGAAGCGCGAGAAGATGAGGGCCGTGAAACTGAAATGCACTTATGCAAAAGCAGCCAGTGAAGGAGATGTCATTCCTCCTTTTGTCTTAGTTTCTTTTCTGCCTGACTTCTTTTCTGTCATGCTGTATTTGCTTTCTCTTGCTTTCTTTTTCTTGTTGTTGAGGCTGTTAAGTCGTGCCTAAATGTGCATTTGCCTGTGTATCATTTCATAAAGGCAGTGCTGTCAGCCCACGACACAGTGGCCCAAAAGAACTTTGACCCGGTTCTGCCGCCACTGCCGGAGGATCTGGACGACGACCTGGAGGAAGAGTCGGTCAAGATTGTCCGCCTGGTGAAGAACAAAGAACCCCTGGTGAGAGCCGCTTCACACCTGAGGACACAACAAAATAAGAGCTCTTCCTTCCCTCAACAGCCATTATTCTCTGTGCCCTCAAGTGAAGCTTTAAAAACTCCATTTACTTTAATGGAGCAGCTTCGAGGCTTTAGAGAGCCCCAGGGTGTGAATGTGTCTCTGTGTGAGGCTATTAAAAAAACCCATTCTCAAGGAAATCCTTCAAGCTAAGGACAAAAAATAGATTTGGTGTTAACTTGTCAGAAGAGGCAGCTGAAGTGACACCAGTTCTGCAGCAACAAGCACACATAATTACACAGCTGAGTATCTGCTTATTAAACCCAGTTATGTTTACTGGCAGTGATTCAACAAACTGTGTTTGACTTGTTTCTTCTCACATGTGGAGCTGCTCATCTGTTTGATATGTTAAATTATGGAGAGATACAGTACAGTACAGTACCAACCCACACAGTATATGAGATGGGGTTTTTCTTGCTCAGGGTTAGACGATGGTTACATCCACTCTTACGGCCTTTATAAACCAAATCTGTATTTTTTGTCTGAAATGGTACATTTTTCTTTTTTTAAGAATATTTTTATGGGCTTTTTTGCCTTTAATGGACAGGACAGTGAGTGAAATGGGGAGACAGAGAGAGGGTGGAGACTGACACTCAGCAAAGGGCCGCTAGCCGGAAGTGAACCCACAGCGGCTGCAGTGAGGCAATGCCTCTGTACATTGGGCGCCGGCACTATCCACTACGCTACTGACGCCCCCGAAATGGTACATTTTTAAATAAAAATATGACATCATGTTGGGTCAATCATGTTTACACATCGACTTGACCTTGAATGATGTAGTACCATGCGCTAAACAGGATTTTTTTGTTGTCGTTGGCACGTGTTCACGAAATACCCACACACATCTTGACTTGTTATAGCTGGTTTCCTTGAGGTGCAGCAACAAATTGGTCCGTGTTGTAAATGCAACACACATGTAAAGTTCCTCTTGTTACAGGCCCCTCCCCCAGGTTGCAAATTTGCAAATCCTGGGATAGTGAGGGAATGAGCACCCTACTCTCCCTATGATTGGCTAGTACTCATTGCCTTTGTTGGTTGGGTTGGTTTGGTTTAGGCAAGAGGAGTGGGATTGGTAAGAGTGAGAACGTAAGGGTAAGCCAATCAGAGTCAGAGTAAGGCAGGCCATCCCTTCACTATCCTAGTAAACACAACTTTGCCCCCAGGTTTTCCCTCAACCTGTGTCTTGCATTGTCATTGACTTCAGCTCACCAACAGGTGCCCGACAGGTCCAGATATCTGGGATGCCTCTGCTAAACACCAGGCAAGCCACTGGGTTTGTGTCTGTGAACAGCTTACACCATAGACATAGATTTATTAGACATAGAACTGTCTGTCCTGCTCATTTGATGTGTACAAAAAAATAGTGATAGTTGTTAATAACAACAATTATTATTGTTATGGTAAAACCCAAGTCAGTGGAGCCGTAAAGTGTTTCACACTCACTAATTTGAGAACTCCGTTTTAGCCTATTCTTTCAGAAAACTATAACAGAACATCAATCTAAGGGGAACACGACCTCGATAAAGAATTCCAGTATGTTATTTCCATGGCCGAGGAAAGTTCGTCAGTACTTGTGAACATGAGCTACGCTCTCTGAACACCAGAAACCAGACAAGTAAGTCTCAGACTTGTGATGTCATCAGTATAAAGTCTGGAGCTGCTACATAGACAATAGGCTTGTTTGAGATGAGCCAGGCCTGCACAGAATCACTGGTGTCCACTGCGCAATGCATGCTGGTTAGATTTGTGTCCGACTTCATCCTGACTTGCTATCTCGTCATGCAGAAGTGGACAACGATATTCTCACGAGATCAAGGCGGTCGCAGTTTTTAGAGCCAGGCGCTGCAATTGCTGTCCACCAGCTGCAGGACCAGGGCATGATGGGAAACGCAATTGAACAGCACAACCCAAAATTTTGTACTGTTCCTGCCAGCTCTAAATGATCACCTTAAAGTATACCATGAAAAAATCTTGGATGTATCTGATGGAGCTGTAACTCAGTGTAAGAACCCTTTGGTGAAACATAAGGAACTGGAGTGCAAAACCTTTTTCTGTGATACATTTATAAGAAATAAAACACCTGTTTACTAGTAGTACATCAGGAGCATGAAGCAATGGAACTTAGAAGTTTCAGGGACGCCATCTTTTGTGAGTGTAGCCAGCAGAGCTAAAGCACAAACAGGGAGGTGATCATGATGATCAGGTATCAAAATCTGCAGTTACAGAGTTTACTGATCTCTCCAGCGAAAGCAACTTACGGGTCTTTTATGGGTCTACCAGAGGATTATATCGGCTCAGTAAACTGCAGATGGGATTCAGTATGTGTTTTCTGATTCATTGTTGCGTCTCTTCCACCAGGGAGCAACCATCCGGAGAGACGAGGCAACGGGAGCTGTAATTGTGGCCAGAATCATGAGGGGAGGGGCCGCTGACCGCAGTGGTGAGACAGACAGTGTTCACACAGCAGACTGTATATCATAATGCAGCAGAGAGTTCTTTTATTTCCTGTGATAAAACAAAACGCCGTCCTCCCCAACAGGACTTCTGTTCTCCGCTGATACACTGACGGAGAAGTGAGGAGATTATGTTGTGTAACACCATCAACTGTCAACACAGAGTAAATCCTTGAGATTAGTGGCCCAAGATTGCATATTTTGAGATTACAAACAAGGGTTGCTCCTGGCTGTTGCCATGGAGATGTTATCAAACTCATGCCAGCGGTTTTTTTGTTCATATCTGAGCCTCACACTCTAAATATACTCTTAGTGGCACTACACACACACACACTGGGATTTTCTGTGCTTTATTTTACTTGGCGACAAGGTGTGTTTTCAGCAGACTTGTTTTGTGTGTGTGTGTTTCCAGGTCTGGTGCATGTTGGTGATGAACTTCGAGAGGTCAACGGAAACCTGATAACCCACAAAAGGCCAGATGAGATTAGTCAGATTCTGGTAAAGGAAAAAAAGGCTTTTTGTCATATGGCATCGCACTCGTTCAGACACTGTTTGATGATTCACTGGTGATTACTGCAGATGCATGACGATGCTGTTCTGATGTTTCTCATCAGTCCCAGTCACAAGGCTCCATCACACTGAAAATCATTCCAGCTGTTGTAGAAGAAGACAGACTGAAGGAGAGCAGGGTGAGCGCTCCTCTGTCAGCAACATTTGACCTCAATATACAACTGGTTACTCCTGAAATGAAGTGTTCATTGTTTTCATTTGTCATTGATCCACATTACGCCACCAGAAAAAAGTTCCCCCAAAGGTTTTTGTGTCTTGTCATGTCATTATAGGCCTACATTAGAGAAGGGCGCCAGTGATTGGCACATCTGGGTGATGCTGTATTGTGCGGTAGTCAGTCACATAGGTTGTGTTCACATTACAGGCAAATATGGCCTACATTTTTTGCTCTCATGTGACACAGATCAGATTTTTTTCTAATCACATCTGGGCCACTTTCTTACATGTTCCTAAATACCATACGTATCCGATCACAAGCCAAGCAACCACTGTAAGAAACTGTCATTATCGGAGTTTCTGTGTGTTTTTTCCCCACACATACAGTACAGGCCAAAAGTTTGGACACACCTTCTCATTCAATGCGTTTTCTTTATTTTCATGACTATTTACATTGTAGATTCTCACTGAAGGCATCAAAACTATGAATGAACACGTGGAGTTATGTACTTAACAAAAAAAGGTGAAATAACTGAAAACATGTTTTATATTCTAGTTTCTTCAAAATAGCCACCCTTTGCTCTGATTACTGCTTTGCACACTCTTGGCATTCTCTCTATGAGCTTCAAGAGGTAGTCACCTGAAATGGTTTTCCAACAGTCTTGAAGGAGTTTCCAGAGGTGTTTAGCACTTGTTGGCCCCTTTGCCTTCACTCTGCGGTCCAGCTCACCCCAAACCATCTTGATTGGGTTCAGGTCCGGTGACTGTGGAGGCCAGGTCATCTGCCGCAGCACTCCATCACTCTCCTTCTTGGTCAAATAGCCCTTACACAGCCTGGAGGTGTGTTTGGGGTCATTGTCCTGTTGAAAAATAAATGATCGTCCAACTAAACGCAAACCGGATGGGATGGCATGTCGCTGCAGGATGCTGTGGTAGCCATGCTGGTTCAGTGTGCCTTCAATTTTGAATAAATCCCCAACAGTGTCACCAGCAAAACACCCCCACACCATCACACCTCCTCATCCATGCTTCACAGTGGGAACCAGGCATGTGGAATCCATCCGTTCACCTTTTCTGCGTCTCACAAAGACACGGCGGTTGGAACCAAAGATCTCAAATTTGGACTCATCAGACCAAAGCACAGATTTCCACTGGTCTAATGTCCATTCCTTGTGTTTCTTGGCCCAAACAAATCTCTTCTGCTTGTTGCCTCTCCTTAGCAGTGGTTTCCTAGCAGCTATTTGACCATGAAGGCCTGATTGGCGCAGTCTCCTCTTAACAGTTGTTCTAGAGATGGGTCTGCTGCTAGAACTCTGTGTGGCATTCATCTGGTCTCTGATCTGAGCTGCTGTTAACTTGCGATTTCTGAGGCTGGTGACTCGGATGAACTTATCCTCAGAAGCAGAGGTGACTCTTGGTCTTCCTTTCCTGGGTCGGTCCTCATGTGTGCCAGTTTCGTTGTAGCGCTTGATGGTTTTTGTGACTCCACTTGGGGACACATTTTAAGTTTTTGCAAATTTCCGGACTGACTGACCTTCATTTCTTAAAGTAATGATGGCCACTCGTTTTTCTTTAGTTAGCTGATTGGTTCTTGCCATAATATGAATTTTAACAGTTGTCCAATAGGGCTGTCGGCTGTGTATTAACCTGACTTCTGCACAACACAACTGATGGTCCCAACCCCATTGATAAAGCAAGAAATTCCACTAATTAACCCTGATAAGGCACACCTGTGAAGTGGAAACCATTTCAGGTGACTACCTCTTGAAGCTCATTGAGAGAATGCCAAGAGTGTGCAAAGCAGTAATCAGAGCAAAGGGTGGCTATTTTGAAGAAACTAGAATATAAAACATGTTTTCAGTTATTTCACCTTTTTTTGTTAAGTACATAACTCCACATGTGTTCATTCATAGTTTTGATGCCTTCAGTGAGAATCTACAATGTAAATAGTCATGAAAATAAAGAAAACGCATTGAATGAGAAGGTGTGTCCAAACTTTTGGCCTGTACTGTACATGGTTTTTCCAAGTCAGACTTCTCTGCGCAGGCACAGAGTACTCACAATACAGAGAAAACAATGTCAGAGCGATCCATTGAAATTATAGAAGGCTGCTGTAGCCATACTGCTGCTGCAATAGGCTGCCCCAGTCGCCAGCCAACAGAGTCTGACTGCCAGTCGTTTTCTGACAGGGACAGCTTGCCTATATTTTGAGTCCTGCCGTGACAGCCTTGTCATGAGGTGATGACAGAGATAATGGAATGCAGCCCTTGACATCCTAAAGTTCTGGAGGAACTGTTACTCTGTGAGACCTTCCACATTCCCAGCTCCATCACTCCTGACTCCTCTCCCGCGCCCACACCTCTCTCTACAGCACCACCAGCAGTAGCTGCTAATAGAGCTATAGATGAGGCTTTTGTGTCTCTCTGACTTCTCATCCTCATCATATGACACATTGTCATCAGCAGCAAATAATTTGAGGGAGATGAAGCTTGCACTGTTATGTATTCATTTTTTTCCCAAATGCCTGTCTCTCCTGTTGTTCCAACTTGCATATGTGAAACATTATTAGTTGCATGTGAGATGTTTCAGGGCAGAGATGTGTTCAAACTGATGTTAGATAGGGGTCACTTCAAACATGAATGTGGACAGTCTTGGCAGAAAGATCAGATCTGGGGGAAAAGTTGGAGTTGAGCATTAAACCCTGTCAAATGAAGACTTCCTGAGGAGCCAAGCTAGCTGTTTCCCCTGTTTCCAGTCTTTATGCTGAGCTAAGCTAACTGGCCTCTGGTTTTAGCTTTGTATTTAACGTACAGCAGATGTGACAGTGGTATTGATCTTCTCATCTAACTCAGGAAAATAAAGCAAATATAGGCCTGAATGATACATAGTATTAAAATTGCCATTGCAATGTGAGCACATGCAATAGTGACATCTCAACAATGAGAGTTATGGTCTGATTAATCATTCAGGTCATGCTGCTTAGTAACAAGAGCTTGCAAGGTTTGCAGTCACCACATCTACTCCTTACCTGGTCTAAAAAATGGACAATATTAAAAGGAAATTTCGGTTTATTTCAACCTGTCTCCTGTCGTCCTAAATTTGTTTCAAGTGACTAGTGACATAAAAATAATAGTTAGCATGTTAGCCGTTAGCCTAGATACAGCCGTAGCGTCAGACCTGTTAAAACTTAAGTGAACAGGCATACTTACAAAGACCGCCTCATATCGTTAGGATAAATGTCAGAGAACATATAGAAAACGACGTGAACGTGTTGTCTTACCTTACCGGTGTGTTGCCATGTTTGTTTACATTTAGCTCTGCTTTCGACAGCGTGGCCGAAATATCGCGAGAACAAGCAGCGATCTCATACCGTGCCTAACGATATGAGGCGGTCTTTGTGGAAAAAAGCTTGTTTAGTGGACTAACTTTGCACTTGAAGGTTGCCCGTTCACTTACGTTTTAACAGGTCTGACGCTACTATGCGCCCCGGCTGTATCTAGGCTAACGGCTAACATGCTGACTATTATTTTTATGTCACTAGTCACTTGAAACAAATTTAGGACGATAGGAGACAGGTTGAAATAAACCGAAATTTCCCTTTAAGTCTCATTTATTGATTTCCTGGTTACACCTAAGTTATTGTTGTGTGTGTGTGTTTTCTACTATGAAACCCTTAACTTGCAATATATATTGCAAACAACAAAGAACTTGAAATAATATTTTTTCCAGTATCATTCAGGCCTAAAATATTTGCATATTTCCAAGAATATCAAACTAGTACCACTGCTAACTGAATATACCTGCTCCTGAAAGGTCTATCTGCGGGCTTTGTTTGACTACACGCCCTATGAGGACAAGGCCACACCGTGCCAAGAGGCTGGACTTCCTTTTAAGAGGGGGGACATTCTTCAGGTTGTAAGCCAAGAGGACGCCACCTGGTGGCAGGCCAAGAGGGTTGGCGACTGTAACCTGCGCGCTGCCCTCATCCCCTCTACACAGTTTCAGGAAAGGTAGTCAGCATCAATTCTACTGCCAAATAAATAAAGCTGTTTAAAGCCAACATGTGTGGGATTTGAAAATATCTGACCAAGCTGTCTTTTACAGATCAAAAATAAACCACCTCTTTATTGTTTTTTTTTTTTTTTTCTTCCCAGGCGCCTGAGATACCGGCTGAAAATGGGCTCTTTTCCTGCTCCCATGTCACCGAAAGCTCCGGCATGTAAGACTGTTTGACTTCTGCACATCAAACATTGTCTCACTACATAAATACATAAGAGGCCTACATCTACAGATACAGCTTGTAGTGCAGTCAACTCTAATCTAGCCAAGGAGTTACAGAGATTAGGAAACGAGAACAGGGGATCTGAGGTTAGTCTCTCTCTAAAAAACATAATCCATTGTTTCATTTGCTAATCCAATTTAAAGGTAAAATTAAACTAAGAGGTTTGAAAAACAGCGGCTGGTGGTTAGGTCACTTGTTTTCTTGTTTGTTTATCTGCATAAAGGCTAAACTCCCTAACATTCACTGAGCTTTAAGGGGACCTGTTATGCTTTTCCATATTTTCTGTCATATATTATAATGTTAGAATGTTGGATGTTGATGTTAAACACGGCCAAAGTTTCAAATAATAAGGTACACCTATGTAAAAGTAATCCTTGTGAGCAAAAACTTACAGTTGTGTAGAAGCTTTTATTGGTGGGTTGTTTTTTTTTTTAATGGTAGAAAGTACCGCTATTCTCTGTTCCAGTCATTCCCAGGACGCAATGACAGTGCAGAGACACCGAGAAAGGAAGACCCAAAAATACTGACAAAGTCCCAACAAACATTGAGATGTTGAATGATTGTTGTTTGAACATCCAATAAAGATGTCCTGATATGGTTCAAAAATAGTTCCTGAATGAAGGTTGTGCTGATGTCTACAACATTATCTGGCTGTCAGCTGGACGTACTCCCTGAGCATCCTAATAATGCTGAAATACAACATTAACATCACCAAATAATAAACTAATGTTGACCCACAGAAGACTCCTGGGTGAAAGTCCTGTGCTTTATCTATTAATCCACCACATCTTTAAATAGACTTTGTCACTGTTTATACTACGTCACCTGACCTTCTTGCAGAAAGTATCATCAAAGACAGCTTGAATAAAGACTTTTGACTCTTATAAACACCACAGGCTTAAAACGATGCGACAGGAATATAATTTACATGTAGATGTACATAAATGGCATAAAAGTCTTTTTCATACTTAAAAAAAGCAGAGGAAAGTAATACTAATTTTTGGGGTGGATGTCCCATCATAAATGTCTGATCAAAACCATTTGACAACCAAATACATTGTTGATAAAATGTCGTTATATTTAAAAACAGATGCATGTATTTGCTTTTTTTCAGAGCAATAAAATGGTAAATATTTCCTGGTTTGTGGGAAAGCATCTGAATGGACCATAATTGAATGTGGGAACAACGTCACCATGTGGCCCTTTGCCTCATAACCACGGTGCAGTTTTTGGTGTCTTCTCCTCCTCCGCCTGCTACTGTTACCACTACTTCTCCTTCTTCTTTTTCTCCTACTTCTTCGTCTTCCTATAATTGTCCTTCGCCTGTTGAAGAAATAGGGGCTAAAACGAAATGTCTCAGACATATGGTGAATACAGGTGTTACAGCACAGACAGTATAAGGACAATTAAGTGTTTATTGAACATTAAAGCATGTAAACATGTTCCAGTAGAAACCCAAAATACAAATATCAACCTGAAGATGAGCATAACAGGTCCCTTTAAAAAAAAAAGGATGTAGTAGAAATGTTGCAGTATAATACTGTGTGTGTTTGTTTTGAACTGAATGTAATGACATGAGAGAAGGATGTTGAAGTGCAGATACAGTTTAGATATGACATTTGCATGATTAAGAAAAGTGTTTAGACAATGTACATTAGGTAATATCACAGTATAGCAGTTGGAATATTCTGTCACTGTCTGTAGTGATACTGTGTGTTGTTCCTTGCATTGCTAACCTCAGATGATCGTGCTGAGAGAGGTACGTGACCAAACCTTCATGTTGGACAATAGCACTCATCCCTGCATTGAACACATGTTATGGTCAGAATTTCTCCATGAAATTCTGTCACCACCCTAAAACCTAAAACACAAATTATGCTGTACATTTTCCTCCAACATTTACCCCTTTTTTGTACCTGTTCAGTTTCCTTTATACCTTCAAACTGTAGTAGTTACTGCACTTTAACCTGCTTTGTTCTGACATTAAATTACCCTCAACATCGACCTCTCCTCCCTCCTCTTACCCCGTCTTCTCTTCCTGCATGCCATCCTGCAGAAGACTGTGACAGTGAGGGTGCTCTGAATGGAAAGGACGTAGGTGAGGAGGCACGATTAATGAGTTTCTACTGATCACTGCAACATCACATTTCTGCTCAATCTGTGTGCAAATCCATCCCTTCCCGTAGAACAGGGATTGTTAAAGTTATAAATACCATGCAACCGGTGGCTTTTTTACACGTTGTCATTCCTGACCTGACAGATTTGACAGAGGCTTGTGTGAAAGTGAAAGTATTAAAATGGCCTCTAGATGATTAAATTATAATGTATGCATTTTGTGTCACATTCAGGGGCCGCACACAACGTTTGAGGGCCACCATTGGCCAGTTGGCTTTACTTTAGAAACTGCAGACTGAGGTGCTCCAGTTTTGATTGAATGGTTTGAACACGTGTAAACTTAAAATCTCCATCCACTGCTTTATTCTTTTAACTCAGCAGCAGATGTAACCTGGCACTCTTTAGCACTTTAAATTCAGAAAGCCATTCACTGAAAGGATTTTTTTGTTCCCCCGCACCTGACCCGATGTACTGATGTCTTCACAGCTCAGTTAGCATCTCACCACTTTGTTCATCAGGCTTCCTGTCTGCTCTTATTAGCCTAATGTGCTTCTGTGGGTCGGATGTGCCTGAAAGCATCACTGCAGCCATTTTGACCTGGAGCTTGTTTTCACAGCGTATTCCATCACCTGTATGATGAATCTTACCAGCGTCTTACACACAGCTTTACTCCAGACTTAGAGTGTTGATTTCTTATTGGTATATTAGATTTAAGTAAGTAAATAGTAAATAAATGAAATGCATCGTCACAACCAGAAACAAGGCTTTGAGTTTGGTGACGTGATTGGAACCATATTTGTTCTTTGAGTGAAATTTCTTAACGACTATTGGATGGATTAGTGTAAAGCACACTTAAATGATTCCTCTAGGATGAACTGTAATGACTTTGGTGATAACATAGGTAAACATAAGTATTACCTAGTAAGCAGTGCCAAAAAGCAAGTATCTCTACAGTGAATCAGCTCTGAAGGTTCTGTTTACTTCTGTTTAAATGGACAGATTTGTCTTTATTCTCAAACATGTCAGGATTGATAGTAACAGTGTGTTGTGGCGTCATGCCGTCGCTCTGTATGAAAAAGCTCAGCACTTTGAGTGTGGACTTGGTGCTCTGGCGGGCTTTTTGTGCAGAACGCTCCAGCCACCAAGCTTCTCACAGTGTCTGTGTGGCACCTCATGGCAGCTCATTTATCTCACTGTGCTTCGCAAATGAACTCTACTCATGCCACATGCTAAAGTCTGTGTTTGGTGGAGAGGTAGACGCAGCATGCATGGCTTCCAAGCTTCGTATGTGTTGATGAGATTTAAACTGGTTGAAAAAATGGTCTAATATGAGCTGTAGTTTCTCCCAAGAGTAAGGCGGCCCCTGCCTTCTGTGGCCATGCTCTCTCATGGGATTTTTACTCAGGTACTCTTACTGATTTCTAACAGTGTTGTTCAGCGTGTCTGTGTTGTGTGATGTATGGCACAGGATTTTATTTTCAATCAGAGTGAGAAGTACTTGAAGTTGATGGAATTTTCAGTTTGCTGTTTATCAAAGTAGTTACTTCAAAGTGTTGGTGTTATCTACAGTAGACTTTAGTGTATGTATATGTGTCCTTCTAACATTTGCTTTTCCTCGGCCACAGCTGGACTGCGCAGGAGTTTCCGCCTCAGGAAAGATCGCCAGGCTTCACCAGCAGAACCTCAAACTCCAGACGCCAACCACACAGAGTTCCTCATTTATGAAGAAGTAACACAATATCTGCCCCGCCCGGGTGAAAGGCCTCGTCTTATAGTACTGATAGGTAGGTAGGTTCTTTGTGGGGTTTGGTGACATTGAAGAAACCATGGTGGTTGTTTCAGATCTAAATCTAAGAGTATTTCTCTGAAGACCTTTTGAGTCTGGTTCTGCCACACGTGAAAACACTGTAGAGAGTAGAATCAGGTGTTTTCTGAGAGAGGTCCTTCTGCTTGCATCTGAGCACATGATTGTTTTGTATACCTTATCTATTCGCTTATTTATTCTGTTATATGATGGTCACAGGTTCCCTTGGAGCTCGGATCACTGAGCTCAAACAGAAGGTGATCGCTGAGAATCCTCGACGTTATGGTTTGGCAGTGCCTCGTAAGTTTTTTTGAATTTTAAATATTATCTTTATTTAAACCTTACAGTCATGTGTAACATGCATTTGTGCCTGGGATGTGTATGTTTTTTATGCCTCCGTGTAGGGATGTCCCGATCCAGCTTTTTCACTTCCGATCCGATACCGATATTACAGCCTTGAGTTTTGGCCAATACCGATACTGATCCGATCCAAGCACATATATACATATTCACTTATTTTGTTGTCAGTCATGTTAGAAAAGGTTTGATCAAGCAAAGAACAACTACTTAATCAGGTTAGTTAGAATGATCCACAACAGTTGGTATGAGAAACAGACCTGTTTATTGTTAACAGGGTTAAATAAACAAACTTTAAACTTGAACATTAACATTAAATAAAAAATACAGCTGGTTTGCTTTGGCTGCTTTGGCCCCTTAATAAATAGAAAAGGAATCAACACAAGAAATCTTTAAAATTTCTAACAATGAAATGAAACAATGAAACTTGGCTTTTTCTCTAAAAGAGGAACAGAAGACGGCGCTCGAGTCTTTCCTTTGCAAGAAGGACGTTTTAACTGTTTTGCTGACCAGATACGGCAAGAGCCTAATCTACCAGTTAGCTAAGCGTATACATCACCCCGTGTATTGTTCTGATTGGTCATAGTGTTATCCAGTTGCGTGCAGTGATATTTACAAATGCATGCTTGGTGCCGCCCCTCAAGTTGGGCCATTTTCATTACTCATGGCCAGACCCTAAATCTTTCTAGATTTGGGTCTGGATTTCCAGGCTAGTTAGTAGCTGTAATCTAGGATTTAAATAGGATTAATCCACTGTTGCAGACATTGTCGCCTCCTGGATGCTCTCATGCAAAACTACACCAAAATAAATTAGCTACGGTGAGAGTGGGATTAACTGTTTTGTTCATCCCTAGTGCAAACAGTTTAGGAGTAACCAATGTAATACTGGTGATAAATGTGCTGTTTCTCTTGACAAACATTTTCATTTGTTGTATTTCATGCATATGATTGTACATCGTGTAGAGGCTCTTGCTGACAAATAAAAAACAAAATGGTAGCATTTTGTAAAAAAAAAAAAAAACCCCACAAATTAATACAATAATTAATGCATAAGTCTTGATGATCTGATGCAAGATGTATCATGAATTCCTGTTCCTCCGTAGAAAACATGATCACGTTACAATGAGACTATGTGACCTGTTAAAATAGGAAACTGATGATTTTCAACCAGCTCTGTGTGATTCATGTGTGTGCAGATAAAGTGTTTGGCTTCCCCCTGTGCCATGAACGCCTGATGATCCTTGCGCATGCCCACACTGCACTGACACAGAGCTGGTTGAAAATCGGCAAAGTTAACCCTTTATGGATCATAAATTAATTATTGACTAACAGTTACTTCATACATTCGAACATAGCGAACTGGCTGGAACCCAGTGATGTTGATGCAAACATCGGCCTTGGCTCTGAAACCTTAACTACCTTAATTATAAATCGTCTACCCCAAAACATACAAAGTTTAAATTATTATCTTTTTTTCCACCTTGTCTTCCTCTTGGCTGTGTTTGAATATGTGACATGAAGACACCACTCGAGCCAGGAAGTGTAATGAGAGAGAGGGAGTGGAGTACCACTTCATCACCAAAGCAGCTTTCGAGGCTGACATCCAGAATGGCAAGTGAGTATTGGACATTGGATACTGTATCTTGTTAACCATTCAAGTGCAACAAATGGTTTATATAATTAATTCATGGTGGTGCTGTGTTTCTGCAGATTTATTGAATATGGGGAGTATAAAGATAATCTGTACGGCACCAGTTTGGAGTCCATTAACAGAGTTCTGGATCAAAACAAGGTCTGTCTGGTGGATGTGCAACCAGAGGTTAGTACCCGAACTGCTATGTAGCACTGCAAATACACCAAATACATTTCTGATTACAAATACACTAGCTGTACTTTTAAATAAATAAATACTTAAAAATAAATAATACAAAGACTTGTTCTGGTGACTTGTCCAGGCTTGTGCAGACATAGGGTCAGATACAATATATTTGATGTAGAGGACAACAATTTAAAGCCAGTAACATCAAATATTTGTCATGATCATTATTTTATCATGATCAGATTATTGTATCTCATTTTATCTGCCTCAGTAACATCCCTAACAGTTCATACAGTGTGGCAGAGAGGATATTAATTATTGCAGAACAGAAGCCGCATAATAGAAGTTGTAGAATCATTAATCTGACAGTTAAATTACACAATACAGTATACCATTAAAATGTCATAAAAATGTCAGTGTAGTATGCCATAAAATTAGAGGTAGCCTTTTACTTGTCACATTTAAAGCATGATTAAGTCTGGATTCAGACTGTAACACAGGGCATTGAGTTCACTGCACTGAAGGATGCTTTTAGACTCAAGTAACACTTTACTGGCTTTTACGTCCCCTTGTTTTATCATGGACTGACAAAGTGAAAAAACTGAAAGACTTTCAGATTTCATTAACTGTGTTTAACAAGGCACCCTAGGCTGTGAATTGCCACAGTACATGATGTAAAAGTCCAAGTATAATATGTCATGAAAATGATGCCTTAGAAAATCAAAGTGTCAAATTAAAGTCACCAAAAAACCATAATATATTGTGTCATAAGAAAGTCATACTTATGTGTGTAAAAAAAAAAAAATCATGTCAACCATTTCACAGAAAAATGTTTTAGTGTAGTATGCGTCATAGTATAGTATGTCGTCAAAAATATGATCAAAATGTCATAGTATAGTACACTGCCTGGCCAAAAAAAAAGGTCATACACTCTAATATTTTCGCATTCGCTGTGGCATTGTTTCGATAAGCTTCTGCAATGTCACAAGATTTATTTCCATCCAGTGTTGCATTAATTTTTCACCAAGATCTTGCATTGATGATGGTAGAGTCTGACCGCTGCGCAAAGCCTTCTCCAGCACATCCCAAAGATTCTCAATGGGGTTAAGGTCTGGACTCTGTGGTGGCCAATCCATGTGTGAAAATGATGTCTCATGCTCCCTGAACCAGTCTTTCACAATTTGAGCCC